ATTGGAAATAAGCCTCCTGAAGAAGCTTATCCTTTCGGTACTCCGTTATGGATAAATATTACCCATGATAGAAGATTATCTATATCTGGCACAACAGTTTAGAGCAGCAGCTTACAAGCAGCTTACACAGCAGCTTGCAGCAGCAGCTTACAAGTAGCAGCTTACGCAGCAGCTTGCAGTAGCAGCTTACACAGCAGCTTGCAGTAGCAGCTTACACAGCAGCTTCCTTTCTTCTATAAATAGAGGAGAATTCAGTTCATTATGTATAGAAGTTTGAAGTTTGAATAATATATCAGTTTCTCTCTATACTTGTCTTTACTTTACAGTCTTTATTTTATAACATTGAGCAGTTTTAATCCTTTAAGTTGCTCAAAATGACCACTTTTATTTTCATCAAATATTTTAACAAACTTTGACTATTAGAAATATAGAATTGTAATAAAAGATTGAACCAAAAATAAAATCTGTTGTAAAACTAGTTGAAGTTATATAAGTTTTATCTTCCGCTTTCTAATAATTATTGGACAACTTTAGGGCTAAGTACTGAGAAACCTCATTGCAACCTTAATGTAAGAAAATTTATTTATACCTTCTTAAGACTGCAATCTATTCCTTATAGAGATAGAGATAGAGGTAGAGGTTGAGCAAAGGAATTGAAGTTCATGGATAGAGGTTGAGCAAAGGAATTGAAGTTCATGGATTCTAAATTTGCACTGGATTCATTGCTCGTTTTAGTAACATTTAGATATATTTAATGAATTTTCAAGTACAAATACAGGATCTATAAGTAAAGTTACAGATTCCGTCCGTGCTTGTATCTATAGTAAGCTAGCCTTTGTTTTTTGTTGATAATGTAGACAACATTATTAATAAAATTTAGCTTTTACAATATTTAACTGCTCTGAGAAACAAAGATAGGTGTATAGATAGGCATCCTTCGCCGGAAAATTACACTGTATATATAGGTTTAAAAAAAATAATAATATATACAATGAGTTGACAACCCTTGACATAAGACAAATCTCTAGTGTAATGGTTAAGGGGTATCAAAAGTTGCTGAAGGTTACAAGTTCTATTCCCAATTGCAACATAACGTCTGTTTTAGATCTTCTTCTTTTTTAATGTTTAAACAACATCGAACGACGTTGTTTTCTTATCTGTGAGTATTTTTTTTAAAATTAATTAATAAACGACATGACATGAGGGCAATTGGGAGTAAACTGTAAAGAAATTCCTAATTTCAAAACTCAAAAGAGAACATCTCTCAGTCTCACGGCTCATATTCTCAAATTGCTACTTGCTAGTGTTCATTCTTGTCTCCGACTCGCCGAGACGTCGATTCGTGTCGTTAGTCATCTTTGAAAATTGCTTGACGCTGGTGCTGGTCGATCTTTGCCACTGGTCATGGCAGCCACAGTAAGTTCCTTTACTCTATTTCTTTACCCATTTCTTTTTAGAAGTTTGGAAATGTCTTTCTATAAGACTATAACTTTCACTAGAATAATTTAATGGACGACAAAAAAGATTAATTCCAGTGAAACAAAATATTACTTGTATTTCTTGTATTTCTTCTAACTGTGAATTGACAGTTGTTATAACCGTGAATTGTGATATTTTACAGAAATCATTACTTGTATTTCTTCTAAATAAATTTTGTTTTATAATTCAGAATCAGAAATAAATGAAGCAGTTTTTTTGTAAAGTATCAAAATCAAGTTTGGCCACTCATAATCAATCTAATTTGGAAGAAGATGTAGTACCAAAATCAAATTTGGCCACTAATAATCAATCTAATCTGGAAGAAGATGCCAACTAATCGGAAGTACCACTGTATTCTTCTCAAAAATAACAAATTAATCTTGAAACTTTAAACTCTGATCCGGCAGAAAGAACTCAAATCTTGGACTACCATCCAAACCTCCGCGATGTGAATAGAAGAGCATACATTCAGAGAGGTGCTTGTCAACCTCGAGAACATAACTTTCCTCAAACATATTTTTATGGAGTAATGCGTCGTTTTAATCCTAAATGGTTTGTTGATTATCATGGGTGATTGGAGTATAGTATAAGTAACGATGCAGCATATTGTTTGAGTTGTTATTTGTTTAAAGACGATAACATTCATCAAGGTGGAGGTGATGTATTTTCGAGCATATGGTTTAAGAGTTGGAATAAAAAGAAGAGCTTTGATAAGCATGTTGGTGGGCCAAGTAGCTTTCATAACCAAGCAAAAAGGAAATGTGTAGATCTACTACGGAAACAACAGTCCACTATATATGCATTTGAGAATAAATCTGATCAAGTTAAGCATGATTACTGGATCGGTTAATGTCGTAAGACTTCTTTTGAAGTAAGGATTTGCATTTCGGGGTCATGATGAATCTAAAACATCATTTAACAGGGGTAATTTTCTTGAAATTCTCTCATGGTATGTAAAAGAATGTGATAAAATTCATGATTATGTATTGGCATATACTCCTCAAAATGATCAGATGACTTCTCCAATGATTCAAAAAGACATTGTGACTGCATGTAAGATGGAAATAATTAAATCTATCATTAAAGAATTAAATGGTGACTACTTTGCCTTATTAGTTGATGAATCTTTTGATGTGTCGCGAAAGGATCAAATAGCTATTTTCTTACGATATGTTGATAGAATGAGATTTGTGGTGGAGCGACTTGTTGATATTGTTCATGTCAAAGATACATGTGCTTCATCTCTAAAGAAGGCAATTATTGATTTACTTGCTAAACATTCCTTAAGTCTATCATATGTTCGTGGGCAGTGTTACGATGGAGCAAGCAACATGCAAAGTGAGCTCAATGGCCTTAAAATGTTGATTAGGCAAGAAAGTAGATCGGCTGTTTTGCTCACCAACTTCAATTAACTCTTGTTGCGGTTTCAAAAAAATGTATTCAAGTAGGAGAACTTGTAGTTTTGGTCTCAAATATTTTGAATGTGTTGGGATCTTCTTTTAAGCGTATAAATGAATTTCGAGAATCTCAAAAGGAAAGAATTGAAGAGGCATTAGATATGGGTGAGCTTAAAACTGGTAGAGGCTTGAATCAAGAACTTGGTCTTTCAAGAGCTTGAGATACTCGTTGGGAATCTCATTACAAATCTTTTAAAAATTTTATTCTTATGTTTGGCTCTATTCTTGATATTCTTGAAATACTTGTTGTTGATGCACGTTTGATGGATGACAGAACCAAGGCAATGTGATATCTCAAAACTTGTCAAACATTTGAGGTTGCATTCATGTTGCATTTGATGGTAGATGTTTTAGCAATCACAAATGAAGAATTTAAACTTCCCTCTTGTATTCTGCTTGGTAAAATTTGTTTTGCTTTTTTCAGTTGCCATTGCATCGGTTGAAAGAGCTTTTTCGGCAATGAATTTTATCATGAATGACATGCGGAATCGAATGAATGATGAACTTTTGAGTGGTTGTTTGGTACCTTATGTAGAAAAAGATATATTTAGTACTATATCTAATGATGATATTATAAAAATATTTCAAGAAATGAAATCTCGTCGAGTACAATTGTAATAATATAATATTATTTTGCTTTAGGCTGTGGTAACTTTGGTTTTGCTTCTAAGGTGGAGTTACATATTTTTCGTCATAACTTTTGCTTGTAATAGTTTGTTGGGTGTGTGTTATCTGATGTGCTGAATCTTCTTGATTTGTTCCCTCTTTTCCCCTGTACTGCTTCTTATAACTATCTGTAGCTAAGATGAATAAAAAAAATGGTGTCTTCCTTTGAACCTACCATTGTCTGCTTTCTCAAGCTCGTTAGTATGTATTTGTTCCCAATATTTTGGGCAGTTCACAAATTGTCAGCTTGTTTGTTTAGTGTCTATCTAGCTTTCTGCTTGATTCACCATATGAGGAAAACTGTGGTCTGACGGAAAAAAAAGTTTGTTGTTGTTCTTGTTATTTCACTAGTAGAATCATTTTTTTTGGTTTCTTCTTTAGATCTTGACACCCCTTTGTGTAAATCCTGGCTTCGCCACTGATTGTTTGAATGTCAAGAAAAATGATAAGTGACACATAATTAATTTGGGACGACGGAGAGAGTATTTTCCAACAATGTAATCAAGGTCGAAGGAATGACTATTGTACTTGTTTGTTTGGCTCTTCGTTGACTTGAAAGTTGCCTTACTTACACATTAACATTTGCTATCGTATTATTAATTGTACCTTATTTTAAGCCGAATAACATGACCTTAATTCTAATAATTTGAGCTCAGTATTAACTTAGCTAGGTAAACACAAATAATTATGGTTTTGTTTACCCTAAAAATTGAGTAAAAATTAAATTTATATTGTGGTTTTAAGAATATGTGATTTAATCAAGTATCAATTGATAAACAACGAATTGAATAAATAAATTGGATAATGAAATGAATCAAACCGGTTTATAAACAATACTTCGACCTCGATTCGAGACAGTTTTGAAGTTAGTTAATAAGAACAATAGAGGACGGAACAAATAACGATGAACAGTGATGAACAAAGAAAACAGTCTATATGTATATTCTTCTCTGTGAATAATAATGATTTTACAAGTGAATGAGATCTCTCTTTATATAATAGAGGAATCCTAAATAAGGTATAACTCTAATAACGAAAGTAGATCCTATGATTGGCACTAACAACCACTTTGATTTGATCTGTTCCGGGATTTCCGTCGTGATCTTCGACCGGTTACTGATATCTCGCCATTACGTTATTATTCCTTACTCGATATCAGTCATGCTTGATCTCGATTGTTGCTGGCTTCGATCTCATAGAACACTTCGATCTCTAGGCTTCGATGTTCTATCTTCGAGCTCGAGTTCGATCTATTATGAGGTTACCCTCGGGGCAACTCCCCTACCAACAAAATCGGGTATGTCCGATTTCGACCGTATACAGATAATCCACTCATTTTTTGAAGTGTAATGAGAAGAAACGAATTTGAGACTTCGATTTAATTCCTCGATCAATTATGACGTCAACATCATGACGTAAATGACAAAAGCGATTGAAGCGTCGTGTCTGCACAGTTTGCAAGGTCATTAATTAATGTCAGTTGATGGTCGGCCACCGGTGCTTTCAAACCATCAAAGTGGACATTATAAATAGATCGCCTTCATAATCTTCTCAAACTTTACTTTCAAACTTCTTCTAATCTTCAAAAGCTCTTCTATTCTCTTCAGGTTCATCAACTTTGTCGGTTTTCGTTTGCCAATCTCTTATTAAAACACAAATTCCGCCTTCTTCTTCCTTAAACCTCATATAGCAATGGCAAAAACATCAAATACTATTCCTCAAGAGGAAAAGGCCTCCTCATCGCGGCCGACCGGTGACAAAATACCGGTGGAGCCACATATCGAAGAGTGCATCCCTGGGCCATGTGAACTCACTTCCTACTTTAAAGTCGAAAAACCCTTTTCGGTTCCTGGCCGATGCGAGCCCATGTCTAGATACATCTGTTCGATATCTGAAGGTGATCTCGAGCAGGTGAAAAAAGACTGCCACTGGGAGAATAAAGAGGTAGTGATTCCTATCCCCGATGAGGACATCACCGCTCATGTGAAAGGGTTCTTAAGTGTATATACTTACCCTTTCACACTGGGTTCCGTTGATCCTGTCATAATCGACTTCTGCCGCCAATACCGGGTAACCATAGGCCAAATCTACCCCTTTTTTTGGTGCATTGTCATTTTGCTCAGATTCTTCTCGAGAGAGGTCGAGGGTATGTCTTTCACCCTCGATCATCTCATTAGGCTATACAACCCTCATCTTTATTGGGGCGGACTGATAAGGCTTCAGTGTCGGGCCACAAAGGTGTTGTTCTCGAGCATAGACGAGGACAAGGACCGAGGGTGGATGGGCCGGTTTGTCCGAGTAAGGACCTCGGACTTAATCCCTGCCGAAAAGATGCCATTCCCCGAAGAATGGAACATGAAGCGTAAGTAGAACCTCACCGATAACGTTTGATTACTCATTATGTTTCCTTTACCTCTTCTAATCTATATTCTTCTATTTGGTGCAGCTTCCCCCTGGTTTCCTTGTGCAGTCCCGGGCCTTGCAGGTTGGGTTCAACAACTGGTTTCAACCTCTTCGTATGATGAGCGCTCGTGGCGTGATTTGGCCAAGGGAAGATGGGAGGCCAAAAATCGTGGTAAGATTTTTGTTCTCACTCGTGGCGTGTTTGATGCTTTCTTGTGAAATACTTCTTTTTAACTTGATTTCTCCTCATACAGGTCTTGGAGATAATGTCATCATGAGGCCTCCTCCCCTCGGGGAAGGGGAGGCCCCGAAGCCGACCAAAGACAAGAAAAGGAGAAGGGCCTCGATTCCAGATACCCCAAAGCCCAAGAAAAGCAGGGCTCGAAAGTCAAAGGCTGATCCCTCCGTCTTATCTGCCGATGTAGTCCAAACGCTAAGAGATGAAGATGAGGAGGGAGAAGATGCCAACTGCCTGCTGGTGGCTCGGGAGAGGGAAGGCACCGAAACTTCAATAACTGCTGAGCCAGTGACGGTCGAGGAGGTTCAGCTGCATATCGAGGTGATATCGGGGGAAGGTCTGAGCAGGGCCCCCGAGTCATCGGGTGTTGATGATGCCTCCTGCCGTGATGAGAAACCAGCGGGTGTTCCCGAAGGGTCTAATTCTAAGGACCTTCAAAGAGAAGAGAATGCCCGAAGTGACTTGCTCGGGGCAATTAACATTGATGATTTGCCGCCCGGCCCCACATTCTCTGAGGGGCAGTTTCGGGATGCCCGGTCCATAGGGACCCCCGAGTGGGGACGACCCTCGAAGGGGATGATATATTTCGCGGCTACTTCGCGGGGGTCGAAGATGTTCCTGAACTGGACGCATCACTCATTTTTGATGAGGCTCAGCGGCTTCTGAACCAAGTGAGGTTTAGCCTATGTTACCAGGATTGCGTTTGTTCTTATTTTTCTAAGTCTGATTTACTTTCTTTCTATGCAGGCTTCGACGCTCCATCGAGAAGCGTCCTCCAAATACCAAGCTGAGCTGGCCCGATGCGAGGCCGATCTCAAAAAGCTTACGGAGGAGAGACACGCCCTTAAACTCCTCTATATGCACAATGAAGAGGAGATGATGAGTATTCGAGTCGAGCTGACAAGAGCTCATCAAGATCAAACCGAGCTCATTGAACGGGTAATGTAAATTTTTGGGAGCTTGTTATGTATTAACTTGATTTTGGCGACTAACGCTTTGATCCTGCAGGTTCAGCAGAAGGCCGAATTGGTTGAGCAGCTTCGTGAGGAGGCCAAGATGAAAGAGGCNTTGGAGGGGGGGGGGGAAGAAGAACATGGACCGTGTCGCCTCGGAGAAAGAAGCGGTTCGGGCCCAACTATCTTCGGTTGAGCGTCAACTCCAAAGTGTGAAGGAGGAGAACTTGGCCCGAGCCTAGAAGGTTGAAGAGCTTGAGATTCGGTTGGCCGCTGAGCTAGTAAAGGGCCACATCCGAGGAAAAGTTGATCGTGGCCTCCTACCTTGCTGACACCGAAGCCGCTAACACTCGGGCAAAGGAAATTTCTGACGCTGCCGAGG